AATTAAGAAAAAAATTGAAGACTTTCTAGAATTCAATAAATGAAGGCATAACATACCTAAATCTATGAAAGGAGTGCTAAGAGGAAAGTTCATAGCATTAAGTACCCACATAAAGAAAATGGAGAAAGCTTGCAGCAGTGATTTAACAATGCACCTGAAAGCTCTAGAACAAAAAGAATAAGACAGACGCAGGAGAAGTAGAAGACTGGAAATAATCAAATTGAGGGCTGAAATCAACAAAATAGAAACAAAGAAAACAATACAAACATACAATAAGACAAAGAGCTGGTTCTTTGAGAAAATTAACAAAATAGACAAACCCTTATCCAAACTAATCAAAAGAGAGAGAGAGAGAAAGAGAGAGAGAGAGAGAGAGAGAGAGAGAGAGAGAGAGAGAGAGAGAACATCCAAATTAACAAAATTAGAAATGAAAAGGAGTACATAACAATGGACACTGAGGAAATTAAGAAAATCATTATTACATACTACAAAAACCTGTACTCTACAAAATTGAAAAAGGTAAAAGAAATGGACAGTTCTCTAGATAGATATATATACCAACATTAAATCAAGATCAGGTGAACAAATAAATAGACCTATAAGCTGCAATGAAATAGAAGCTGTTATCCAAAACATCTCTTCCAAAAAAAGACCAGGGCTGGATGGTTTTAGTGCAAAATTCTACCAGAACCTCTACGAAGAGCTAATACTTATGCTCTTCAATGTGTTCTATACAATAGAAAGAAAATGAATATTGTCAAACTCTTTCTATGAGGCTACAGTTACCCTGATACCAAAACCAAACATTGACAAAATCAAGAAAGAGACTAACAGACCAGTCTCACTCATGAACATGGATGCAAAAATACTCAATAAAATATTAGCAAACTGAATCAAAGAACACATCAAAAAAAAATCATCCAGCATGATCAAGTTGGCTTCAGCCCAGAAATGCATGGATGGTTCAACATACAAAAAATCTATCAATGTAATCCATTATATATATCGACCTGGAAAGTCAAAATAGAGAAAGGGGGAGGGGTGAGGAGAACTTGAGGAAACTGGATATTTGAGATGGAGGAGGAACAGAGATGAGAGTATGAAAAAAGATATCTTCATTGAGGGAGCTATTATGGAGTTAACAAGGAACCTGCAACTAGAAAAATTCACAGGAATCTACAAGGATGATTCCAGCTAAGACCCTAGGCAATAGAAGAGAGGATGCCAGAACTGGCCTTGCCCTGTAATCAGACTCATAAATAATATGCAATAGAACCTTCATCCAGCAACTGATGGAAACAGAGGCAGAGACCCACATTGGAGCATTGAACTGAGCTCCTAAAGTCCAGTTGAAGAGTGGAAGGAAGGAGAATATGAGCAAAGACATCAAGACCATGATGGATAACCCACTGAAATCTTTTACCAAAGCTAATGGGAGCTCACCAATACCAGCAGGACTGTGAAGGAGCAAGCAAAGGACGAAACTAGTCCCTCTGAATGTCATTGACAGTTGTATGGCTGGGGAAGACTGAGGGGCCGCTGGCCAGAATTTATCCCTAGTGCTTGTACTGGCTGTTTTGGAACCCATTCTCTTTGGATGATACACTGCTTAGCCTAGATATAGTAGGAGGACCTTGAACCTTCCCCAAGCAATGTGCCTTACCTTCTCAGAAGAGTGGATAGGGGTGGGGTGGGATGTATGTATGAAGGGAATGGGAGGAGGGGAGGGAGTGGGAAATTGTATTGGCATGCATAATAAAAAAATTGTTTGCTTTATTTTTGTAAAGAAAATATTTGTTCTAACGGTGAAAGTGTTTTACTTTCTTTTTATTAAGTTGACCTGTAAACTTATGCTTCTATTTTCATTCTTCCTGAAAACTAATCAAAGCAATTATTCTTTATTCATATGGCTCTCAAAGCTTATTCCACTATGTAATAAGAAAACCACTGAAAGTAAACATGATTAAACTAAAACAAAATATCAGAATCACAGAATAAGGTCAAAATGTGATCAAGCAGATAATTTTGTATACCCTATATAACAAATATAATACTGGAGTAGATGAGGAATAAAATTTAGCTATCTCCAGGTTGGTTTATCTATAAGCTTTAGCTATGATATTAGGCAGAAAAGAGATCCATTCATACATGAAATGTCTCTCAGAGTTTTTTAATTGTATTATAGCATCTGGAACTGTCTTCTGAAGCCACAAACTATGACCAAGCCTGTACTAATTAAGGAGGATTTGGCAGCTAGAAATACACTCCTCCTTTGAACCCAGTCCAGTACTTGGGATCTGCCACGCATGAAGAAACAGGCCCAGCTGCAGGACTTACGGGTAATTTGAGTTAATCAGAGAGCTCATAGTACTTAGCAGATTCTATCAAACAAGTTATATTTCACAAGGTTATAGTTCAAACAAGACAGTAATGTCCAGTAGCAAGTAAAACAAATTGCTCGAGTTGAACTGAAATAATGTAACATAAGGGCAGTGATGACTTTGTGAATTCGACAAGCCCAGAGTTATGAAGGGTTCAGCTATGACTCTGGATACTGGAGGATCCCTGTATTCCAACTACCACGGTTCATTAAAGGTTCTAGTTAGAGAACTGATTGCTGAAACAATACATTTCCAAATGTGGACACAGAAGCTGGTTGGACAACTCATCAGGATAATGCTATTTCTTAAGAATCTGATCTCTAGAGTTCATGCACAAAGTAGATATACAGAAGCAATTCCATACTGGCCATTTGCCAACCACATGGAAACACATAGCATATGAGATTCTGCCTCTTAATCAGTCACACGCAGAAAAAATAGTAATATATTTTTAGTGACATGTAATAAGGTACAAAGAAGACATTGTCTACTAAGAAAATCACTCTGTTCTTGACTTTATAGCTTAAGATTAAAAAATGATAAAAAGAACCACAAATGTAATTTTAATTTCACTCTGCTTTTAGCATTTAATTAAAATTTCTGATTGTAACAGGCTTAAAATTATTGCAAACTAATGATTTCAAAGTAGATGTTATTTCATATGTAGTGCCTAAACTGTTTTAGTTATACTGAAAATAAAAGACACTATAAATAGATGACTATCTGTATGTGCAGAGTGATAGTCATCTGTCCTCCTGTGGATGGACATCTTTAAGGGGATATGATGAGTCACTTCCCCATTTTATGAGTTCCTTAGAATACACATTGCCTGAAAGGGATACTCTGTAGAGTCTAATATGTTTGTCACCATTTTGAATACCACAAAAGCTTTAGAACCACTGATCAAACTTGACTGGGTAGTGAGCAGCACACTAACTTTAATTATCACTTCCCTGGCCCAACAGTCTATCTAAACTTCTCTTTAAATCCCCCCATTCTTCTAGTCATCACTATCTGTCCTAATTCTACAATGTCACCCTCCATATTCTTGGATACTTTCCTTGCCAGCATCCTACTTTTGTCTCCAAGCATGTTCTCTGGGCATGCTTCTATTCCCAGTCCAGCTAATTGAACATTTCTTATTTCTGGTTCTACATAAAACTTCATCATGGGTGGTATTATGACTTCCAAAAGGGAGTCATAAAAAAATTTTACAAAAAAATTAAAAAGTCACAAATTTAAAAAAAATTGATTCACAATTTCTTGGATTAAAATACATTATATGCTATTATATACATGTTTAATATTTTTAAAATATAAAAAACAGATATTTTGCTGGGTGGTTGTGGCACACGCCTTTAATCCCATCACTCAGGAGGCAAAGGCAGCAGGATCTCTGTGAGTTCGAGGCCAGCCTGGTCTACAAGAGCTAGTGTTCGGACAGGCTTCCAAGATACAGGTAAACCCTGTCTCAAAAAAACAACATTAAAACTAAAAATATATAAAAAACCCAGATATTTAAAGATAGTTCAAATGCTGGTATTTGAAGGCCAACTTATAATCTTTATTGCCAGTGAGATAGGAGGTATACCTGGAAGAAGAAATTAAAAATTCTTACCTATATATGACAAAATGAGGGTTTTTGTCAACATTCTTGTTCTTGCTTTGTTTGATCTGAAGATTAAGAACATTGTCTCCACAGGCATTATTTCTTAGAAGCTGCAGTCTGTGTTGCCAACACTGCAAATATATTCTCTATCACATAGAATATATTACATATTTAATATACAATAAGCTAAATATATTTATCTTAGTGTATAACCCAAATAATTATAGCACAGGGTGCAAGAGAATGAAAAATGCCAATTATCAAAGCTTAAACCAAAATACAGAAGGTCTTTAGCATACATAAAAATTTTGCTATTTGATTTCTAAGAAAAAAAGACAACTGACCATGATTTCCTGATGTGTAAAATTGTGGAGATAAGCACTCTTGAGACAGGACAGAGGAAGTAACAGACTAAAGTATAGAAAGAAAGAAGAACAGAAGCAGGCACCCCAGCAATCCTCAAAGCTGGGCAAACAACTTCTAATAGGGAAAATGAAGAGATGATTCATCACTTTTGATTTTCCAGACTCTTGGCATCAATGTGACCTGTTTTCTTTCTAATGAAGGTTGTTCCTCTATCCACTCCCACATTATGACAGCTTAGCTACACAATTAGTGATTGTGTAGTGAAAACAGAGTTCAAATTAACTTTTGTGTAACAGCTGCAGCCTAACAGATATGATAACAGCCCAATGACCCTATCCCTATGTTCTCAGATGGATGCAAACTTCAATTTTTGGCAAATCTTTTAGGTTTAGTTTCTTATACTGAGAAAAAGACATTTCATTCAGGGTTTGTGAAGCTTACAGTTATACATGCAACCATAGTGAACATTATGGTAAGTGTCTTTCATTTGTGATTTCATAAAGTAAATTTAAGGATCGTACCATTGCAGAAATAAAGTGGTAAATAATAAACTCATCATCCTAAAGCCATTACTCACATTTTCTGCACAAATACATATCCTTTCACGAAATGATATGTTCTTCAAACCATCCATTGTCTATAATACTCATGTATTTTAGTAAATAAGTAGTTTACTTATTTCTCTTTCTATGCATGAAGGAGAATATTCCTTTTAATTGGCACAGCTGTGTCCATTTCATGGGTATCAGTTTCTGGCCTGCACAGTACCATTCATTTTTAAAATTTCTTTATTTATTTAAAATATCTTTTATCCTTTTATATACCAATCCCAGGTCACACTCCCTCCCTTCTTCCCACTCCCTTCATCTTCCTTCCCATCCCAACCCCTATCCACTCCTCAGAGAGGGTAAGGTTTCCAATAGGAAGTCACCAAAGTCTAGCACATTGCTTTGAGGCAGTGCCAAAGCCCTCCACATAGTATATGGGCTGAGCAAGATATCCTTCCAAAGGCAAAGGGTTCCAAAAATCCAGTAAAGCAGTAGGGATAAATCCTGGTCTCACTGACAGTTGCCCGCAGTCTACCCCACATTCAATGTGCCTAGTTTGGTTCTATGATGGTTTCCTTGCTGTCAAGACAGAGTAGGTAAAGTACTATTAGCTCAGGTAAAATGTTTCAGTGGATAGCCCCGTCATCCAATTATGCCAACACCATAGTTGAAGATGCTTTCTTTTTCTATTGTATACACTTATTTTCTTCTCAAAAATAATGTGTTTATAGTTGTGTTGATTAAAAGGGGTATCGTTGAATCAATTCCATTGGTCTGCCTCTCTGTTTCTATGCCAATTCCAGACTATTTTCATTACTGTAGCTCTTTAATAGAAGTTGATGGCAGAGATGGTGATGGCTCTGGAATTGCCTTTATTGTACAGGATTGTTTTGACTATCCTGGGTTTTGCGTTATCCATATGAAGTTGATTATTGTTCTTTCAAGGTCTGTGAAGAATTGTGTTGGGATTTTCAGGGGAATTGCATTGAATCTATAGATTCCTTTAGGTAGGATTCCCATTTTTATTATGTTGATCCTACCTATCCAAGAGAATGGGAGATCTTTTCATTTTTCTGGTATCTTCTTCAGTTTCTTTCTTCAAAGACTTAAGTTCTTTTCAAGCAGGTCTTTTACTGCTTTGGTTAGTCTTACTCAAGAAATTTGTGAAAGATCGTGTTTCTCTGACTTTTTTCTCGGTTTCTTTATCATTTGAATGTAGGAGGGCTTCTGACTTTTTTTTTCAATGTCTTTTTTTTTTCAAAGTTTATTAAATTATGAAAGTTTCCATTTCCGCCCCTCCTCCCAACACCCTCCCACTCCCCCCCCTCCCCCTCCTCCTCCCTCTCCATCCCTAAGAGCAGTCAGGGCTTCCAGCCCTGTGGGAAGTTCAAGTTCCTCCCCCCTCCCTCCAGGTCCCTAAAGGTGAGTATCCGAACAGACTGGATCCCAAAAATCCAGTAGATGCAGAGGAAACAAGTCCCAGTGTCATTGTCAGTGGCTTTTCAGAAAGGATCCAGGTCAGCCACATTCAGAGAATCCGGCCACGTGCCCCTCAATAGAAGAATGGTTAATAAAGGTGTGGAACATATACACATTAGAGTTCTACTCAGCGGTAAAAAAACAATGACATCTTGAATTTTGCATGCAAATGGATGGAAATAGAAAACGCTTTACTGAGTGAGGTAAGCCAGACCCAAAAAGAGGAATATGGTATGTATTCACTCATATGTGGATTCTAACCATAATTAAAGGTCTTTGAGCCTATTATTCATGATCCTAGAGAAGGTAAATAAGAAGGTGAACCTGTTGAAAATCATGTAGCTATCTGCCTGGAGATTGGAAATAGACAAGAGTCCCAGATCCTTCATCTGACGATGGATGGCGATACAGACGGAGACCCACTTTGGAGCACCGGACTGAGCCCCCCATGGTCCAAATGAGGGGCAGGAGGAGGCAGAACATGAAAAAAACTCAGGACCGCGAGGGGTGCGATCACCCACTGATACAAGGGGACTGATCTAATGAGAGTTCACCAAGGCCAGTTGCACTGGGACTGAACGAGCATGTGATCCAACCAGATTTTCTGAATGTGGCTTCTGACTTTTTAAAGTTAATCTCGTATCCTGTCACATTAATGAAGGTGTTCGTTGGTTGTAGGAGTTCAATCATTGAATTTTTGGCATCACCTATGTATACTATCTTATCATCTGCAAATAACAAAAGTTTAGTTTCTTTCTAATTTGTATTCCATCGATCTCCTTTTGTTATCTGATTGCTTTAGCTAGGACAATGAGTACTATGTTGAATAGATATGGAGATAGTGGACAGCTTTGTCTTATTCCTGATTTTAGTGAAATTGTATTGAATTTGTATCCATTCAATTGATGTTGGCTGTTTACTTGCTGTATTTTGTTTTTATTATATTTACATATGTTTCTTGTGTCCCTGATTTATCCAAGACCTTTATCATGAAGGAGTCTTGGAATTTGTCCAATGTTTTTTCAGCATCTAAGGAGATGATTTAGTGTCTTTTTACTTTCAGTTTATTTATATGGTGAATTATATTACAGATTTTAATATGTTGATCCTCTTTTGTATCTCTAGGATGAAGCCAAATTGATCATTGTGGATGATTTTTTTATGTGTTCTTGGATTCAATTTGCCAGTATTTTTTAGTATTTTTGCAGCAATGTTCATGAGGGCAATTGGTCTGTAATTCTCTTTATGATTGAGTCTTTGTGTAGCTTTGGTATCAAGGTGACTGCAGACTCATAAAAAGTTTGGCAATGTATCTTCTGTTTCTGTTGTATGGAAAAATTTGAGGAGTATTAGCTCCTAAAGTAGGTATTTGCTCTTCTTTGACATTATGGTAGAATTATACCCTAAAAGCCTCAGGCCCTGGGCTTCTTTTGGTTTGGAGTCTTTTGATGACTGCTTCTATTTCCTTAGGGGTTATAGGTCTATTTAAATTTTTCATTTGTTCTTGATTTAATTTTGGTATGTGGTGCCTATCCAGAAAATTACTCATTTTTTTTTTTACATTTTCTAATTTTATGGCGTACAAGTTTGTGAAATGTGACCTAATTATTCTCTAGATTTCCTCACTGCCTTTTGCTAGATTCCCTTTTTGGCTCCTGATTTTGTTAAAAATGATGTCCTCTCTCTACCCTTTAATAAGTTTGGATACAGGATTTTTTATGTTGTTGATTTTCTCTAGAAATCTTCTATTTGACTCACTGATTCTTTATATTGTTTTATTTGTTTCTATTTTGTTGGTTTCAGCCCTCACTTTGATTAGTACCTGTCATTCACTCCTCCTGGGTGAGTCTGTTTCTTTTTGTTATAGAGCTTTCAGGTGAGCTGTTAAGTCATTAGTGTGAGTTTTCTCCACTTTCTTTATGTAGGCACTTAGTGCTATGAACATTCCTCTTAGCACTATTTTAATAGTGTCTCATAGATTCAGGTACATTGTGCCTTCATTTTCTTTGAAATACAGGAAGTCTAATTTTTTCTCTTTATTTCTTCCTTGACTCAGGGTTGATTTAATTGAGCACTCTTAAATTTCCATGAGTTTGTAGGCTTTCTGCAATTAGTGTTGTTGTTGCATTCCAACTTTAAGCCATGGTAATCATAGAAGATACAGTGAGTCATTCAAATTTTTTAAATCTCTTGAGGTTTACTTTGTTATGTGGTCAATTTTAGAGAACGTTCCATTAGGAGTTGAGAAAAAGATCTAGTCTTCTGTGTTTGGGTAAAATGTTCTGTAGACGTCTGTTATGTCTATTTGAGTTGTGATATTTGTTCGTTCCCTTACTTCTCTAATTAGTTTTTGTATGGTTTTCCTTTCCATTGGGGAGAGTGGAGTTTTGAAGTCACCTATTATTAGTGTGTCGGATTTGATGTTCAATTTCAGCTTTAGTAATGTTTCTTTTACATATGTGAGTGCTTGTACTTGTGGCATAGATGTTCAGGATTGGGACTTCACCTTGATGGATTTTTCTTATAGTGAGTGGGAAGTGTTATTTTTCCCCCATCCCTTCTGTTTGATTTTAATTTGAAGTTTATTTTGTTAGACATTAGGACAACTTGTTTCTCAGGTCCATTTGATTGGAAAATCTTTTTCCATCACTTTAGTCTGAGGTAATGTCGATCCTTGAGTTTGAAATATGGGTTTTTTTTGCATGCAGTGAAAGGATTGATTCTGTTTTTGTATCCTTTCTCTTAGCCTGTGTCTTTTTATTAGTGATTTAAACACATCGATACTAAGAGATATTAATCACCAGTGAGTGTTAATTCCTGTTATTTTTCAGTTGTAGTGTTTGTGTGTTCCCCTTCATTGGCATTTGATGGTGTGTGGTTATTTGTTTCTTGTATTTTTGTGAATACAGGTACCATCCTTGGGTTGGAGTTTTTTTTCCCTAATACTTTCTGTAAGGCTGGATTTGAGAATAAGCATTGTTTACATCTGGTTTTGCCATGGAATATCTTGTTTTCTTCATCGACAGTGATTGAAATCATTGTTGAATATAGTAGTCAAGAATTGTATTCGTGGTCTTTTAGTGTCCTCAACACATCTGTCCAGAACCTTCTGATTTTCAGGGTTCCCACTAAGAAGTCAGGTATAGCTCTGATTTGTCTGCCTTTATATGTTAGTTGGTCTTTTTTTGTAGCTCTTAATATTCTTTCTTTCTTCTGTATATTTAATATTTTGATTATTATATAGTGAGGAGACTTTTTTTGGTCTTTTCTATTTGCTTTTTTTTAGCTTCGTGTACCTTCATAATCATATTCTTCTTTAGGTTGGGAAACTTTTCTTCTATGATTTTGTTGAATATATTTTCTGTTTCTTTCATCTGGAGTTCTCTTTCTTCTATACCTAACATTCTTTGCTTGGGTCTTTTCATGGTGTCCCACATTTCCTGGATGTTTTGTTATAAGGATTTGTTGGATTTAACACTTTTTTTGGAAATGAATCAATTTTCTGTACCATATTTTTAACTCCTGCAATTTCCTCTTCCATCTTTTGTAATCTGTTGGTTATGGTTGCATCTGTAGTTGCTGTGCATGTGCACAGATTTTCCATTTCCAGAATTCCCTTGGTTTTTGTTTTCTTTATTGACTCTATTTCAATTTTCAAGTCTTGAAATATTTGAAATGTTTGCTTCACAAGCTTTATTTTTCTTGGTTTTCATGGTTTTCTTTAAGAGATTTATTGTAGTAGGGAG